ACACTGTCACATAACATCCATATATTTGAGTGCTAGGTTGTTGCTTGGCTAAGCTAACTATGAAACACTTTAACTGACAGGACTCAACTGTGTGCTGTAAGGTAGCTTCTAGCTTCATGTCGAACAGTAAGTCAACATTTCCCAGAGAGCTTTCTTTGAAATCACCAGGTAACACTAAAAAACATTACATTTAGATTGTATGACAAAGTATTTATTTAATGTCTCTGGCTAGCTATAGCTACTTGCTAACGGTTTAGCTTACCCCCGCGATTCAAAGTAACGTCAACGTAGCTGTAATTTATGCTTTGCTTACATGTTCGCATAACTTCTAAGTTTACTGACGTTTACATACCTTGTTTACCTGGCTCAAGTGGTGGCTTCTTTAAGAAAAAATGTTCTTATGACCATCTTCAAAGTCCGACTGACAGTTTCATTGTCACAGCTCACAGGATAGGTACCTGTCAGCCAATAAGACAGATGTGTATTGCCATTCAACTCTGGTTGGTCTGGTGTCTTGCCTCTGTTGCATTCACCGAACACGGGAAATTACAATTCTGCCGTCCTCTCATGATGAGGTTCAGGTAAAGCACGGTTAATGTATTATATTAACCGTTACTGTAATAACGTCATATTAAATGCAGTCATTTGGTCTTTAGCAACAGCTTGTGAGAGCAGTGCATTCATCGGTGTTCGTTTTAATAATGCCAGTTTGTTGACGGCCTGTGTGTTGATGGGACTTCTCATGCTCCCTAAATGTTTCCCCTGCCTTTCGCCAGTTGTTAAACCCTGCTTTCACAAAACTCCCATCCCTGTTCTTGTCTGCACGGACGAGCTTCTTTTCTATAGCAGAGCAACAGAAGAAGCACACCACATTATCACTTTCTCTTAGTGAAGCTTTTATAGTCAGACTGCTTACACTAACATGCTAACTCAAAAATAGTAACTAAAAAAAAAACGTTTGTTTTGTAACATTTTGTCGTTGCAGTTACAAGTCTCCGCCAACAGATGGGGGTGCTGCAGCCCCCTCAGCACCCCCCCTTCGTGCGTCCCTACGTGATATACGCTCATTATATCACGGCTAAGAACCAATCAGCTATTGCTTAAATATATCTCACAAATTCATAAAGCAAGTTAGGCATTTTGATGTTCCGGACCTTTGCATGGGGAGATTTTCTCTAACGGCCCGTCCACACGGCTGCGTGCGTTGAAGCTTCAACGCTTCTGCCCGTTCACTTTGAATGGGGTGACGTCACGCTTCGCCGAACTGCGTTGTGGGAGCGTCGCTACGCGTTGCTCGCTGCAAAAGTTGAGCAATGTTCAACTTTTGAAGCTTCGACGGAAGCGTCAGCCAATCGAATCATATGCCAGTACAAGCTCTAGCCAATCAAACCGCGTGCTTGTGTGTCCGGGGCGGGAGATTCATGTGATTGATTGTTGGTCGAGTTTCAGACACGCCCGCTAGCAAGCTTCAACGCCACTGTGTGGACGGGCCGTAACTGGACCTCGTTGAATTTGTACCCGTGATGTACACTCTTGTTCAGTACAGACCCGGCGCCAGAACAAATCTAAAGGGAGGGTATATGATTTTCATGGGAGGGCACAAAACCGTCATGTGCTGCGGGTCTGCGGCACAATATATATCAAACAGCAAGGCCAACGGCATTGCGTAAAGACGCACACGTTTCGCAAATACATACACAAATAAAGGGCAACATAGAAACCACTTTTGAAACATTGTGTGCGTGGCAGCACAGACACTGGTAAATCACGAGCAAGGCACACTGGTTAATGATGGCAGCGTCCTCATCGCTGCACTCGGAGAGAAATAGTAGAGACGGAGACGATGAACTGCTGTTAGTTCTATTATGGCATTGTGCATGTCGTGAGAGGTGTGTGTTGCTGTGTGGGGAATGCTTTCCATTATTTTGGCCAACTCTGCATCTTTGTGCAGCGTATACTCAAACAGCGATAGGAAGAGCCCACTGCCTGACTCGGACATGCTGTGGTGAATCGTGGTCACCTCTGAGAGGGAGTTGGTTGACAGCTAAAAAAGCTATAATATCAACGACAGCTGACACGTAATAACGGTTCCGTGCAGCTGATCTGCACCAAAGTACTAATTTCATTATTTGTTTCCTCGCGTATCTCTCTCTCTCTACAAACTCTCCCTTTATCAGTCTGTAATGCGTGTTTCCAGTCGCAAAAACCCTTGACAGTAAAAGCTGCATCAGATGAAGATGTATTTACTTTAAACTGTCTACAGGGGAAACAAAAGGCTGCGTCTGCTTTTAACAAATATTCAAGCCATGGTCTGTTGTTGTACCATGCAGCGGCAAAAATGCGCTTCTTTCCTGAAAACAATCTCCCTGATAACGATCCAGTTTCACCTGGTTGGGTTTATTAACCCCAAGATCATCTGGGGCTGTTGGTCTTTGAGCGGTTGCTGGCCCAATAGAACCTGTTGATGTGCTGCAAGGTAGCGTCTGTAGTGGAGACACTGGCACGGAGGAGGAGGAGGATGCTGGCGGGTGTGGTACAGGGTGTGGCAACGCAGGTGGTGATGGTAGTGGCACAAGGAGCTGTGCCTCGGAGGACAGCGTTGGTGGCGGCCGCCTTGATGAGTCCAGGATTGGGCTCGCTAACTCAGCCCCGGGGTTTGCCGAGGTCAAGCTTGTGACAATAAGGCGTGCTGCTGCAATGGCAGGTGCAGGGTCGCCAGCAGCACCATCGGCTGCAGTTCTTTCATCGCTATTTCGTTTTAATAAATCCTTAGACCTTTTAAGCCAATTTCTGATGTCCATTTTGTAATTCAAACAGAAATGGGAGTCTACATAATGCACAATAAACAATAAACAAATCCAGAATAGGCAGCAGAGTGTGACGCACACGTCTTTATGACGCACACGTCATAAAGACGTGTGCGTCTTTATGCGTAAAGACGCACACGTTTCGCAAATACATACACAAATAAAGGGCAACATAGAAACCACTTTTGAAACATTGTGTGCGTGGCAGCACAGACACTGGTAAATCACGAGCAAGGCACACTGGTTAATGATGGCAGCGTCCTCATCGCTGCACTCGGAGAGAAATAGTAGAGACGGAGACGATGAACTGCTGTTAGTTCTATTATGGCATTGTGCATGTCATGAGAGGTGTGTGTTGCTGTGTGGGGAATGCTTTCCATTATTTTGGCCAACTCTGCATCTTTGTGCAGCATATACTCAAACAGCGATAGGAAGAGCCCACTGCCTGACTCGGACATGCTGTGGTGAATCGTGGTCACCTCTGAAAGGGAGTTGGTTGACAGCTAAAAAAGCTATAATATCAACGACAGCTGACACGTAATAACGGTTCCGTGCAGCTGATCTGCACCAAAGTACTAATTTCATTATTTGTTTCCTCGCGTATCTCTCTCTCTCTACAAACTCTCCCTTTATCAGTCTGTAATGCGTGTTTCCAGTCGCAAAAACCCTTGACAGTAAAAGCTGCATCAGATGAAGATGTATTTACTTTAAACTGTCTACAGGGGAAACAAAAGGCTGCGTCTGCTTTTAACAAATATTCAAGCCATGGTCTGTTGTTGTACCATGCAGCGGCAAAAATGCGCTTCTTTCCTGAAAACAATCTCCCTGATAACGATCCAGTTTCACCTGGTTGGGTTTATTAACCCCAAGATCATCTGGGGCTGTTGGTCTTTGAGCGGTTGCTGGCCCAATAGAACCTGTTGATGTGCTGCAAGGTAGCGTCTGTAGTGGAGACACCGGCACGGAGGAGGAGGAGGATGCTGGCGGGTGTGGTACAGGGTGTGGCAACGCAGGTGGTGATGGTAGTGGCACAAGGAGCTGTGCCTCGGAGGACAGCGTTGGTGGCGGCCGCCTTGATGAGTCCAGGATTTGGCTCGCTAACTCAGCCCCGGGGTTTGCCGAGGTCAAGCTTGTGACAATAAGGCGTGCTGCTGCAATGGCAGGTGCAGGGTCGCCAGCAGCACCATCGGCTGCAGTTCTTTCATCGCTATTTCGTTTTAATAAATCCTTAGACCTTTTAAGCCAATTTCTGATGTCCATTTTGTAATTCAAACAGAAATGGGAGTCTACATAATGCACAATAAACAATAAACAAATCCAGAATAGGCAGCAGAGTGTGACGCTGTGATTGGTCTAAATGTGGACGAATCACAAATCACAACAGACACATGAATTTATTTCACGTAGCCTGTGATTTTTTGTTTTAGTTACTATCTGACACTAGCTATACATCGTAGGATAAAAGTTCACAGTTTATTTATAATAACAAAAAAAAAATGTTTTATTTTTTTTTATAAATAATAAAAATCGTGTTTATTGGGGGAGGGCAGGAATGTCAAATGTGAGGGCCTAGCCCTCCCACGGCGCCGGGCATGGTTCAGTCGATGACAATATGCACCCTTATATTGTACATACTTAAATCATAATACCTCACCGTAAACACAATAGTTTTTATTTAGCGTTGTGCTTCTGTATCGGTAGATTGAGGTCTAAACATTTTTAAATGTTTTATTACATTTTTTTGTTAATTTTTCCTTTATTTTAACTACAACTACAATGGTTGTGTATATTTCCATAGTGGTGACATGATACACACTCTTGTACAGTAGGTGGCAGTAAACGCACCTTTAAATAGTTTGCAAACCACCAATAATCCAAGAGAAGAAGCAGATACATCACATCCTGTGAATGGGCTTCTTTTTTTGTTTTCCCGTATCCGCCATTTCAGTTTTTGAAGTTAGTTGTCATCGGTCGCTGGATTGTAGCTGGAATTCCGCCTCTAAAAAAACGCCTTATATGAAAATCCCACCTTAAAACCCCTCCTTTAACACAGTAAGAGTCGTGTTTATTCCTCCTCGTGGTTCTTGTATCTCTATATTGATGTACAAACCTTTTGTAACGGATGTCGCCCGTTCACTAAACGTGCTCTAAAGGCGCTAAAGTTTTGTATGAGTTGAGGGAACCGTAGGCCCCGGTGAAGCCTCGGCTCTGGGTGGTTATCATGGCCGGACATTTTGACGCGGAGGACCGCAGCAGCTGGTTCTGGGGTCGCTTGAGCAGGCAAGAAGGGGTGTCTTTGCTCCAGGGACAGAGGCACGGTGTGTTCCTGGTGAGGGACTCCATCACCAGCCCCGGGGATTACGTGCTGTCGGTGTCCGAGAACTCAAAAGTCTCCCATTACATCATCAACAGCATCAGCAACAACCGACAGTCTGGATCAGGTAAAACAAATCAAAACGAGGTTTTTGGGAGGGTTTCTTCATGGAGATGTGACCGTTCTTGCATGACTTGTCTTGCACCAAAAGGACATTAATGCATTTAATAGTGTGTATATATTTACATAGCATGCCAGACACATGATAATGTAATGTTGAAAACAATATACAACTCATGTAATATACTGTACTATAATACAAATGTACCCAGCTGAAACTGAGAGTTGTATGTTAAAAATAAAACATTCTAGCATGGCTTGCACCAACGGACATTAATGCATTTCACAGTGTGTATATATAGCAGGCCAGGCACGTGATAATGTAATATTGAAAACAATATACAACTCAATAGATTCATAAAGCATGTGATATACTATACTATAATACTGATTGATTTAGTTATTATTCATATAGATTGATTGTTGCACGTTTTCCTTTTTATTTCATTATCCCAGCTGAAACTGAGAGCTGTATAATAAAAATTAAACATTTATTGCATGACTTGAACCAATACATTAATGCATTTCACAGTACACGGCAGGCACATGATAATATACAACTCAGTAGAAGCATATATCTGCAACAAGGAAAATGGTACTACAGAACGTAAAGCATGTAATATACTATAATACTCAATGGTATTCATACAGATTGATTGTTGCAAGTTTACTAATATAAAAACGTGCTTGCATGACTTTAACCAAAGTGCATTTTACAGTAGCCATTTCTGTCACAGAAATGCACCTTTATCACCCAGCTGAAACTGAGAGAGTTGCACATAGTACAAATTAGTGTTGTCACGATACCAACATTTTGGTTTCGATACCGATACCAAGTCAAGAATTGTGATTCCGATTCTTTTTCGATACTTTTCTTAAAAAAAGGGAAACAGTCTTAAATGTAATTATTGTGCTTTATTTCACACCAGAACCAGAACACAAACCTTTAAACAATGAGAACAATAAATAAAATAAATGACTAGAATTTGTATTAAATACAATTAAAGATGGGGTAGGTAAGTTTGAGAAACCGGCTCGAGATACACTTTTTGTTATATTCCATGGAATGCTCTTAACATCCCGATAGCAATAAATATCTGAAGTGCTTTGACAAAAAATCCATAAAAAAATGTCATCTGTGGAAGCCGTGGTACTGTAAAAAGTACAACCAATCCGTTTAGCCGGGCCAGCTAAACGGATTGGATTGCCGCCCTGTCTGTCAGCCTTCCATCTCGTGCACGCACAAATGTATCTCGTGCCCTCATTGGGCGTACCGTCATTGGGCGTGCATTGCAGCAGTACTTCAATGACTCGCCAGCAACAGGCGGCCACTCTCACCAGTCTGCTGACGTCATGTGCGCGTTCATGTGTGTTGGAGGAGGTGCTCTGTAAGGAAGTCTGAAGGAAGGGGCGGATTCTTTTCGGCTGTGTACTTTCACATTTTAGTGCACTCGAGCCGGTTTCTGATTTTTTTGTTTGTTTTTCGCTTCTGGCGTCTTTTTTGTCAACAAGCCGAGGCGCAGCGGCAGTTGCACTCCCACTTGCAGCCATGCTTCTCGCTTTCTCACATGCTCTGGCGTGCACGAGAGAGGGGAAGGACTTAGAGCGTGCTTGAGAGGGGAGGGACTTAGAGCGTGCTTGAGAAGGGAGGGACTTAGAGCGTGCTTGAGAGGGGAGGGACTTAGAGCGTGCTTGAGAGGGGAGGGACTTAAAGCGTGCTTGAGAGGGGAGGGGCTTAGAGCGTGCATGAGAAGGGAGGGACTTAGAGCGTGCTTGAGAGGGGAGGGACTTAGAGCGTGCTTGAGAGGGGAGGGACTTAGAGCGTGCTTGAGAGGGGAGGGACTTACGGCCCGTCCACACAGCGGCGTGCATTGACGCTTGCCGGCGGGCGTGTCTGACACTCGACCAACAACCAATCACATGAATCTCCCGCCCCAGACACACAAGCACGCGGTTTGATTGGCTAGAGCTTGTACTGGCATATGATTCGATTGGCTGACGCTAGTGCTGTAGCGACGCGTCGACTTCAAAATATCGTCGACGACATATTTCCGCGTCGCTACACACACGTGGGTCACCCAAAGCAACAAGCAGTTCGCAATCGCACTTCAAACACAATGGAGACTGAAACGGCTACCACCTCCTCCTCACAGGATTGCGCACGAAGCCCCCAAACGAAAACATCTCGCCCTAGGTCTTCAAAAGCATGGGAATATTTTAAAGTTAGTCCAAAACGCAAAGATATTTATATATTTATATCTCACTGAGACTGCTGCATAGCCTAGCAGAAGCAGCAGCTAGCTGTGGTGGCTACCATTAGCAGCTAGCATTTGCTCTCCGATTTTTTACATAAAATGGAATTATGGATTATAAATTTAATCATTTTTTTATACATAGACGTTAAAAACCTATGGATTAACCGATTCAGCCGCGTTTTTTCTCATTTTATTGCCATTGAACACGTCTTTTGATCAGATTGACAGCTACGGTGGTGAGACGATCTCCCTAGAAGCTCTGTGAAGGTACGTGTTGTGATGACTGTATTTGCTTCCCCTGTCGCGAGTCCGGATCACTCAGTGATGATACTATATACCTACATAATCTGTGGAGTCTCAGCTTTAATCGGATATATTGTATGTGCAGCTACGATAAGTAATAAGGGTACTTTTATCTTGAGTTCTGTGCCAATGTCCGTTAGCATGTTTCGCTCAGGGGTCATTTAGATGCTTCTTATGAGACTTGTGTTTTGTTTTGGTAAACATGGTTTGTATCGGCAATTAGCTGAGATTATTTCCGTTAATCTGGTATATAATAGGTTCTTAAATATTAAGATCACCTGAGACACAGTATCGTGAAACTTTTTTTTTTTACATTACGTTTTTTTTACATTACGTTTTTTATGAATTGAACAACAGAAAAATAATCGTTAGATTAGTCGACTAATCGATCAAATAATCGCCCGATTTAATCGTTTTCAAAATAATCGTTTCCCCCCAGCACTAGCTGACGCCTCCGTCGAGGCTTCAAAAGTTGAACATTGCTCAACTTTTGAAGCGAGCAACGCCAGCAACGCTCCACGTCGCTTCCCAAAATGCTGTTCGGCTAAAAGTGACGTCACCCCATTCAAAGTGAATGGGCAGAAGCGTTGGAAGCTTCAACGCACGCCGCTGTATGGACGGGCCGTTAGAGCGTGCTTGAGAGGGGAGGGACTGCAGGCACGGCTGCAGTGCAGGGAGTGGAAGCAGAGCCCTGAACACACGGCTCTTATTTAAACTGCGCTTTCTCACCGGAGTACTTTTCCCCGTCATTCTCAAAGTACCAATACTAATGAAACGGAGGAATCGTAACGTTTTTAACGGCAGGGTATCGCGGTACCTTTCAAGTATCGGTACACCGTGCAACACTAGTACAAATATAACATTCTAGCATGACTTTAACCAAACAGTGCATTTAACACCCATTTAAAGCAATATACAACTCGGTATATGCATATGGAAACATGCATATAGAAATGGAAATCGACATAAAGCATATAATATACTCATTGTTTTAGTTAATTGAATTTTGACTTGAGCCGTCCCTTATAGATACTGTCTTGTTACGTTAGCGAGCCGGATCATTTGGCTCGGCTCTCTTAAAGCGCCGGCTGTTTCGGCTCCCAAGCGGCTCTTCATGTTACCACAGTTAACCACTTAGCCTCAGTTTCGCCGCTGCGAGGCTCTGGTGCTCGCAGCTCACGCGCGTGCTCCACTAGCACCGCTCATCACGTCCAAATCGCGCACGTTCCGTGTTGTCCTGTAGCAGGCACCTTCGATGTCGGGGAAACGATCTTCAATACTCTGAAAAGAATCCCACCAGACTCCTTTGCCCCTCCAACAGAGGGATGTCCTTGTCCTTTTCGTTATTCCAAGCGATAAAAACTCTCGATCTTCTCTCGAGCAAGACGCCCCCCTGGCGGAAACGCTGATACCAATTAAAAACTCTATATGATATAAGCACATGGTAAAGCATATTTGTTGTGTAAAAACTTTGTAATTAAAATTATTTTTCCTAATTTCATTGAGAACTTAAGTGCAGAATAAACAAGTGAAATTGTGAATAACAAATAAATATTTCCAGCTGTATTATGTTGACATATGAACGCAAAGTAATCAGACTTATTTTGAAACAACAACAAATAGAGAAAAGATGACTAAAAAGAGACGTATCAAGGGTTGATTTTACTAATAATACTTTTTCTTTGCATGCAAAAGAACAATCAACAATTATATACAGCGCTTTATACCACAAAAACCTGTAAGATGCTTTGCTTAAGAGTATTTTGCACGTTTAAAAGCCATTTTTCTACAATAGATTATTCTTAATCCAAGGGAAATGGCATAAAACAACTAGAAAGAAAATGAATAAAAAGAGACACTTTGATTTGACTAATTATACGTTTTCTTTGCATGCAAAACAACAATCACCATTTATATACAGCACTATGTTCACTCAAAACGTGTACAATGCCTTCCACAAGCCATTTCTACAATGATCAGGGTTCTTACGGTCATTAAAAACCTGGAAAAGTCATGGAAATTCTAAATGCTAATTCCAGATCCTGGAAAAGTTATGGAAAACAATATTTTTCCCAAAGTTTTGGAAAAGTCATGGAAATGTAACTAAAGTTGCTTCAAATATAATTTATATTTTATCTAATCGCCAAAATAGTAATACTATAATGATAGTAAATACTGTATCGTAATAATGAAACGTAAAATGGCATTTAACTGATGAGGTGTTTTGCTGGTGAGAGATTTGAGTTGCTTTAGCGTAGAAGCTAGTAAGCCTACTATTTGATTTGTTGGATAGGCACAACATGTTTCAGACCTTATTTTCCTGTTCCATGTTAAAATAAACCATTTTCAGTGGTACCGCTGAGAAAGAGTCATTCTTTTGGTCATGGAAAATTAGGTAAAGGTCATGGAGAAGTAATTGAAAACCATTGGTGAAAATGTGTATGAACCCTGAATGATGTATTGCTATATCCAAGTGAAATCACACAAAACAACTACGTTGAGTTATTTTTTAAATTTTCCGAAGCCTCAAACACACCAACTAGTTGTGCCGGTTACATTTCAATCACTTTCTGAATGAATAAAACCAACTGCTTGTTATTCTGCAGAAAAACCCAAAGTAGCATTGAATAGTCTTTTATGTGCTCGTTATTATAATTTAAGGCAACGTTATTGTGTAGAATTTTATAACTTTCTTTCCCAACACTATTCCATTGAAAGACGATAATTGGATAACTCACGGACTTATAACTTGTAAATGGACTTTTCTTCACACTGTACATTTTATATCAAATGTATTATGCCATTCCTTGCTCTCTTAATGTAAATAACATCCTACTTTTAAAGTGTTAGCTGTAACTTTGCCGTTCATAGTTTTCGTTCGTCAGCTAGTCGAGTTTTATCTTTCCCAGTCAACTTTTTTAGTTCGGTTTTATTTTCTATTTTGAGATGTTTATACTTTAGATTTGTTTATTTTCTATTTTTTTCACATTTCATATCATGTGCAATGCCTTGTTTTAACATGCTGCTGTAACGACATTTTCAATTCTTTATTTAGAAGACAGTTGAGAACATTTCACCAGTTACAATGAAATAGACTCTCAGTTACAGGGGGTAGTAAAACATTTGCAATAAGGGAACAGTATACATTTAAACCCTCCCAACAAAGTAGAGCTGTACCCGAATATTCCTTCGTTGGGGTACTAGTCGGGTTTCAATTTCGTTATTCGGATATTCGTTTTCTTTCCCCGTTTTTTTTTTATTGAAATCTCCAATATCAACGTAAGAGCTTGTGCCTCTTCGGGGGGTGCTAACACTTAACCATAAACGTTATCGTTTACTTTCTCCGTCTTTATATGTAGATATTACTTTTCTCCGTTAATCTCCGTCACGTTGTCTCCGTCACGTTGTCTCCGTCACGTTGTTTCAAAATAAAAGCATGTCCATACAAAATAGGAAGCCAAGCCAAATTACACCTAAGACATATACAACTGCAACGAAAGTAACAAACACAATGCGATATCCTTTTCCATTTCAAAGAACACAAATTGGGTTTATACATTAACAAATAACTATAAAACAACAATACTGTAGAACAACAAAATGAATGCCGTGAATAAACCGAAATACATGTGTTGAAGCGGTTCGCTACCGATTACGCACCCCCCCCCCTACCGAATATCGGGACAGCCCTGCAACAAAGTCGGGCTGCTCGATTGTGGCAAAAATCATAATCTCGATTATTTTGGTCAATAATTGATATCACGATTATTAAAAACGATTATCCATTTGAAAACATGAATTTATTGGAGAATTTTTTTTGAACAGTTTATTACCCTGAACTTTAAGTATAATTCAACTGAAAAACCAATTTAAAAAAAATAATCGTTTTATTTCGATTGTTGTTTTCGTAATCGTTGCAATCCATAATCGTAATTGCGATTTAAAATACGATTCATTGAGCAGCCCTACAACAAAGTATATCTTATCTAAACTTATATTGAACTATCACCCAACATTTATATACCAAATCTTTCTAATCCCTCAAACATCCCGCCCCGATTCCTCCAGGTTTGGGATCAATAAAGTAAATCTTATCTTAAATTATGTTGAACTATCACCTGACCCTTATATATGAAATCAAATTTTGATTTGACAGTCTAGAGAGTTTTATCTTTCCCTGTCAACTTGTATATATTTTACTTTTTTAGTTCTGTTTTATTTTCTATTTTGATATGTTTATATTTACGACACATTTCCAAATTTAGGATCAACAAAGAATATCTTAAATTATATGGAATTATCACCCAACATTTATACAAAATCGTTCTTATCCCTCTTCCCATCTCGCCCGTTTCCTCCAGGTTTGGGATCAATAAAGTAAATCTCTTTCTGATTCTGATTTTCTCGCCCCGTTTCCTCCAGGTTTGGCCCAACCGAGGTTCCGTATCGGCGACCAGGAGTTTGAAGCCCTCGCTGCTCTGCTAGAGTTCTACAAGATCCACTATCTGGACACGACCACTTTAATCGAGCCCATAAACAAGTCCAAACACACGTCGTTCATCAGCGTCGGAGGTGGCGTTCCCCCTCAGCGCCTCGAAGACGAATTCGTCCGAGCGCTCTTCGATTTTCCAGGAAACGATGACGAGGATCTGCCGTTTCGAAAGGGAGACATTCTTCGAGTTCTGGAAAAGCCAGAGGAGCAATGGTGGAACGCCCAGAACTCTGAGGGTCGAGCGGGGATGATCCCGGTTCCTTACGTAGAGAAATATCGCCCCGCGTCGCCTAATTCGGTGGCGGTTCCTCCAGGAATGTTGGGGAACTCTGACGCTCCTCCCCCTCCTCTGTTGGGAGACCCCAGTCAGTACGCTCAGCCCACCCCACTCCCTAACCTGCAGAACGGACCCGTGTTCGCCCGGGCGATCCAGAAGAGGGTCCCCAATGCGTACGATAAGACGGCCCTGGCTTTAGAGGTAAATACGAAAGTGTGTGTTTTCTCTGATGGTTTGGATGATTTATATAGTCTCTAAAGTCAGTTTATTACCAGGATAGGACAGGCAAGTTTCCTGGCCTTAGAGAGGTGTGTGTGTGTGTGTGTGTGTGTGTAAATATTTGTATTTTATTTAATGTTACAAAAATGACCATGTTCACGTCTTAAAGTCATCCTGAGGCCTTAGTTTTGGTTTGAAATGACACAACATCATGTATGTGTTGCTTCTTTTGGGCTTGTTTTCAGACCTGGTTGCTTATTTCTCTCAAAGCAACAGAGTGGGCGCAGTGTCTAATAGTAGCAGTAAGCTAACGAGAGGCTACGTTCAGCTGGTGACTCGTCGGGACAGAGAAAATGTCAGGAGTTTGGAAGTATTATAAAATTGAAAGCGAAGGCAGTGTAACAGCCAGATGCAATGTTTGCAAGGCGGAGGTTCCGCGTGGTGGAAAGAACAGAGCTACGTTCAACACGACCAATCTAATACGCCACCTGAGAAACAAACACCAACAACAACACGACGAGTACACAGCGGCCACTCAGGTAGCGGCACTGAAACAACCGACACTTTCAGAGACTTTCAAAAGGAAAGAGAAACTGCCCCAGAACGGTGAAAGGCCAAAAAAATAACAGCCACGATAGCTGAATCCATCGCGTTGGATGACCAGCCGTTATCTGTTACCTTTTTTTCCTCTTAATCCATTGCATAAAGATCGGATCTGTAAAAATCGGTATCGGCAGATTGTCAAATGATCGGAATCGGATCGGGAGCAAAAAAAGGTGACCGGGACATCCCGTGTGTGGTGTTTTTTTCTCTGCTAGTTTTGATGTCTAAATTCAGTGCATTACCAGGATAGGCCGGGTACAGGCTCCCCAACGCATACGATAAAACGGCCCTGGCCTTAGAGGTAAATATGAAAGTGTGTGTGAGGTGTTTTCTCTGCTAGTTTGGATGATTTAAACTGTTAGTATTAGGGATGGGAAATTTAAAAGCAAATTTATATTCGAATCCTCGACACTCAAAAAAACGGTTAACCAAATGTACATATCCTATAATTATTTATATATTTTTTATAAATACATGTTTGTTTGATGTGACTCTCCGTTAGAGTGCATACATTTAGCAAGGTTTAGGAAACGGGCTCCATCCGGTCACAGAGATCTGCTATTTTTAAGTAAAGTCAACACATCGACCTTAAATATAGTCTATATTAAGAACGGGAAAAGTTTTAACAGATATATAGTTTTTTGTAAACATACGACAAATGTGCGAGGGTGATGATGTCGGAGCAGGAGTCACTGCTCTACCACTGCCTCGATTGGTTAGTTTTTTTGTCTTATTTTGTGACTATAGTGGATCAAAACGTACCCTTAACTATGATAACACAAACGTTCTAACCGCATGAGGAAGCGGTACAACAGCAAATCAAGTGTTCTGCAAAGGTAACATTACAGTTTATGTGAATGTCGTCTGTTTGCTTTAAATGGAGCAAAAACAACAGCTTCAGTTCTCACAGAAAAGATTCTAATGATAAAGATATTCTAAATATAGCGTTTACTTGAACTGGTAGTGATGTTTTTATGTGTCTAAAATACATCCACAGCAGTTCATTGCTTATCTTGCTGCAGAACCACATCTCAAAACAACTATCTCCTAAAAATAGGACGTTTCGTTGAATCTCATCAAGACGTAGCTCTCAGGCTCTACTTTCCTTTTGTACTAAAGTGAAGAGAGACCAAGGTCAGAAAGTGCTCAGTCAGAGAGTGGATCTCTCCTTTATTTGAGAAATAATGGCTAATCATGATTTCAAGGTAGACAAATGGAAAGTAGACGAGTTGCCTTGGAGCAAAGCATCATGGGAAAAGTGTCGGAAATGTTTCCTCACAAGGCAATTCAAATGTCTATCAACCACTTACAATGTTTTGTCACTTGGTTGTACTTTACTGTAGAAATATGCAATATACATAAATAATCCTGGTTATTTTTTGTGTAGAAATTGCTTTTCAGGGTTACCTTATGGATAAGATAAGATAGAACTTTATTGATCCCAATTGAATTTAAAAAGACAAGAAATAAACAAGAAAGTAGAAAATATACATGTTGAATTTACAAATGAACAATAACAAGATGTAAAGCAAGGTATTATATATACTTAAGTATGTGAGGGATGGAATATTAAATATTAGACTGAATATAAAAATGTAAAATGTACAGTGAAGAGAGTAAAAATGTGTCATCATTCGACCTAAATATAAAGAAAACCTACAGTGGGGAAACAAAGTATTTAGTCAGCCACCAATTGTGCAAGTTCTCCCACTTAAAAAGATGAGAGGCCTGTAATTTTCATCCTCGGTACACTTCAACTCTGAGAGACAGAATGGGGGGAAAGAATCCAGGAAATCACATTGTAGGATTTTTAATGAATGAATTGGTAAATTCCTCGGTAAAATAAGTATTTGGTCACCTACAAACAAACAAGATGTCTGGCTCTCACAGACCTGTAACTTCTTCTTTAAGAGCCTCCTCTGTCCTCCACTCGTTAACTGTATTAATGGCACCTGCTTGAACTCGTTATCAGTATAAAAGACACCTGTCCACAACCTCAAACAGTCACACTCCAAACTCCACTATGGCCAAGACCAAAGAGCTGTCAGAGGACACCAGAAACAAAATGGTAGACCTGCACCAGGCTGGGAAGACTGAATCTGCAATAGGTAAGCAGCTTGGTGTGAAGAAATCAACTGTGGGAGCAATTATTAGAAAATGGAAGACATACAAGACCACTGATAATCTCCCTCGATCTGGGGCTCCACGCAAGATCTCACCCCGTGGGGTCAAAATGATCACAAGAACAGTGAGCAAAGATCCCAGAACCACACGGGGGGACCGAGTCAATGACCTGCAGAGAGCTGGGACCAAAGTAACAAAGGCTACCATCAGTATCACACTACGCCGCCAGGGACTCAAATCCTGCAGTGCCAGACGTGTCCCCTTGCTTAAGCCAGTACATGTCCAGGCCCGTCTGAAGTTTGCTAGAGAGCATTTAGATGATCCAGAAGAGGATTGGGAGAATGTCATATGGTCAGATGAAACCAAAATAGAACTTTTTGGTAAAAACTCAACTAGACGTGTTTGGAGGAGAAAGAATGCTGAGTTGCATCCAAAGAACACCTACTGTGAAACATGGAGGTGGAAACATCATGCTGTGGGGCTGTTTTTCTGCAAAGGGACCAGGACGACTGATCCGTGTAAAGGAAAGAATGAATGGGGCCATGTATCGTGAGATTTTGAGTGACAACCTCCTTCCATCAGCAAGGGCATTGAAGATGAAACGTGGCTGGGTCTTTCAGCATGACAATGATCCCAAACACACCGCCCGGGCAACGAAGGAGTGGCTTCGTAAGAAGCATTTCAAGGTCCTGGAGTGGCCTAACCAGTCTCCAGATCTCAACCCCATAGAAAATCTTTGGAGGGAGTTGAAAGTCCGTGTTGCCCAGCGACAGCCCCAAAACATCACTGCTCTAGAGGAGATCTGCATGGAGGAATGGGCCAGAATACCAGCAACAGTGTGTGAACACCTTGTGAAGACTTACAGAAAACGTTTGACCTCTGTCATTGCCAACAAAGGGTATATAACAAAGTATTGAGATGAACTTTTGTTATTGACCAAATACTTATTTTCCACCATAATTTGCAAATACATTCTTTAAAAATCAGACAATGTGATTTTCTGGATTTTTTTTTTTTTCTCATTCTGTCTCTCATAGTTGAAGTATACCAGGATGAAAATTACAGGCCTCATCTTTTTAAGTTGGAGAACTTGCACAATTGGTGGCTGACTAAATACTTTTTTGCCCCACTGTATATTTCCTGTATTCGCGTTGAGCTCCTGATCTGCCTGTCGGGTGTTCTTTTCCCCATAATGACCAAGTCGCTGCTGTTAGCAATTCTAGAACCCTGAGAGCCGGAGAGACTGAAAAGAGTCAAGGGAAGCTTATAAAAGTTAGCAGTATTTAATTACACAAAAGATGCGGTGGTCTACAAATGAAATGTGTGAGTGGCGGCTCTCCCCCCATGCGTCCGGTCAGCCCAGGTCAGCAGGTAGAAGAGATCGATTCTTGGCTTGCCCTTCCTGTTGTCATCTGAGGTCTTCTCCTATTGGCCGGCGTAGTTGGGGGCGGGTCCAATGCAATTCCTGCCTTTTTCTGTTGCTAAATTACATCATTCTGGTGTCTGTGGTTATTTAAACATTCCCTAATAAACGTGATTTCAGCATCAATAAACGAGTGTTAAACCCAGTGTATTTAGGGTACAACATCACGCCATTTCACCTTCAATTCACGGTTTGAAAACGTAGCATTTCGCCACATGCTAATGCTAACCGGGAATGAAGAATTTTCAGAATAAAAGTAAAATAAAACTGATTCAAATTAAAGTGTATTTAATTCAAATTACGCCATATCAACATTGATTTTAATTTCTAACACTACACATCATCCCTCTTATTACACGGCCACATTCTAAACAAAGTAACGATATGAGTCCCAATTAGTGTTGCACGGTGTACCGATACTTGAAAGGTACCGCGATACCCTGCCGTTAAAAACGTTACGATTCCTCCGTTTCATTAGTATCTGTACTTTAAGAACGACGGGGAAAAGTACTCCGGTGAGAAAGCGCTGTTTTAATAAGAGCCGTGTGTGTTCAGCGCTCTGCTTCCACTCCCTGCACTCTCTAAACGGCTTGTTTTCTCCACCTTAGTGTGCTCACGCTGACTCAGCAGTTAATAATTAGCTCACATTTCCTCTTCTGTGTGTCTTCAGAAAACCCCTTGTCCAGTTGTGAGGAATCGCTCCGTATCTTCAGTTAACTTAACTTATTTAAAGTCATGCGAAGAGCTGCAACCAAACGTCCACCTTTAGATTAGTCTAGAGGCAAAACAAAAACATTTGATCATCTGTAAGGTCATTTTAGGATGCAGAAAATACAGTTTTCAAATATATAGATTTTCTTATTTTTATCTTAAATGACATGTTTGTAATGTTTATGTACATAAATATAGCACAAGTTTTCCAAAAGTACATTTTTTTGGTGGATTTAATCTAAGTCTTATTTTCTGTACAAAAGTCTTTGGGTATAAAATAGGGCTGCACGATTTGGGGAAATAATCTAATTGCGATTTTTCTGACAAATATTGAGATTCGATTTGCGATATTTGTTTTTAAGCGACCCGACGGAAGTTTATTGTAAAATGCGGCCATATCTCCGGCTAGGAAGGTCGCATCAACGTGCTCCCGTCTCTAGCACCCCCGCAGCCCGAGCTACGAGTGAAAGAACTAAACTTACATGAAACTTCCGTTGGGTTGCTTTAAAGTCAAGCTTCAGTTTAAGAGTCACCCTGTAATAGAAATACGTGATGGAGCATTACTAACCTGACCCAGACTCTTTGTTTCACCAAACCATCTAGGAAAGCTCCATTGGAAGCCATTTGGAAAAGTATTTCAAAAATACTTGGCAGGTGATTGGATCAATCTGTCTATCACCTGCTATCATGGGCCACTTCTGATTGGATAACAATGGCTGGTACATGTGGAGCACAGCACTTCTGATTGGTGTGGTGGACTGACACACAGAAAATCGCAGGCTTTGCGATTTGATAATTGCATCATTTCAAATCACGATTTCGATTTAAAATCTATTAATCGTTCAGCCCTAGTATAAAATATAAGGAAATAGTGCGTTTGTTGAAAACCAAAATATATTCACTTTAATATGATATATTAAACAAAAAAGAAAAAGCCATAAATCTCCATATTGCACAGGCTTTAAAAACTGCATTTTTGGACCTTCACTGCAATAATATTTGGCGTTAATATAATAGATTATCAAAGTAGTTTGCGATAATTTTCTGTTTATCCGCTAATTGTAGCTCTTAAAGTCATGCGTACCAAACGACCACCTTTAGATTAGTCTATTGGCAGAAAAGAGTCATTTTTCATGTAAATATGGCAGAAAATGCTGTTTTTTAAAATGCTCACAGATGTAGTTTTCATGCTTTTATCTGTTTTATATCACATTTAAAGTGAATATCTTTGGGTTTTTACTGACAAAACAAGACATTTTGAGACAACACCTTTGACTTTGAGAAACTGGGATGGATATTTCTTACTATTTTCTGTCAAACTAGAAGATAATCTGCAGATCAAATCTATCGTTATTTACACCTATGTTGTAGTCAATACGCCCTTTTCCGAGACCACGTTCTTTAATGTAGGACCATACCTAATAGTACAAATGAAGGAAATGCAGATCCATTTGGCCGTCACACAAACCTACATGACTTCCCTAATTTAGTTTGAATTGTGCACTACTTGGGTAAATAAAGTAAGGATTTTAGCTCATGCATCAGCGACAGATATAACTGGATAGAGCCCTACTTCTAAAAGATGTTCCTCTCTGATATCAGGTCATCAAACTGAGACTCTGATCCTTCAGGAGGGTTTGAGTGAAACAGTTTTAACTCTTAACGCTCATCAGGATGAACTTTGAGACTTTGCTGATGTTTGCTCAGGTTTAGAGAGAGAGAGAGAGAGAGAGAGACTTTACTGCCATATCAAACACGGACAAATGTGTGTTTAAGTTGCAGGTACAGACAGTACATGTTAGTTATTAACAGTCATAGGACATTATTCACAGGTGTTCTTGTCTTATTTCATTCAGTAGTAATATGTTATATCGCTAACATGTAAAGACACATGCTATATTTATAAAGGAAATTATAATATAATTATTATTTATTTATCTGATATATTAAAGGGGACCTATCATGCAAAATGCACTTTTTGATGTCTTTTATACATCAACATGTGTCCCCGGTGTATCGGAAAATAAAACCCTCTCTCTTTTCCTCCGTACCCAAATCTCTAAAAACGGGGAACAACGGAGCTGATCCAGATTAGCGTCCGATATGACGTAATATCTGAAATGTGGACCCACGGCCCAATCAGAAACGTTGCTATCGGAAACAATGCCCGACTGTTTTGGACGTAATATGGTCGGTGTTTACATTAGCATTGCTAACACTCAGAGCTAACCTGTACTGGAGAGCATGTGTGTGAAGAAGCAGGAAGTAAAAAGGAACTCACCTTGTGGTATAACCGCAAGAGAGAAAGCCTTTGAGCTCCATACTGTTTCAGAGAGAATCCTTGATCTAATAATCCTTGCGTTTCATCACCGCAGCATTTAGACAATATCTGCCAGGTCCCGCATGAGCCGGCATAAGCTCCGCCCCCTCCTGTTTTATTTCCGTTAAAAAAAGAAAACGTAATTTTTTTATTTAGCCTTTATTTATACAGATATCTCAAGAGAGACCTGTTTATACCCAGAATCAGCACTTTAGAAACAGGAAGTGAAATAGAGGGATATGAGGCATGGCTAGAATGGGTGATCTGTTTGGTATTTGGAGCAAAACACTTCATAGACATGTTTTTTTATTTTTTTTTAATATATCTGAGACCTGTGCTATTGCCTAAAAATAGCATGATAGGTGATCTTTAAGATAATAAGACACGTTTGAAAAAGTGGGAAAATGTCACTAGAAAAACCTTAAATGTCCCCTTTCACTGCCCCTCCCTAATCCCCTCATTATCTCCATCCCATAATAACTTGTCTTTCTCCCCCTCAGGTGGGCGACATGGTGAAAGTGACCAAAATCAACGTGAACGGCCAATGGGAGGGCGAGTGTAAAGGAAAACGCGGCCATTTTCCCTTCACACACGTCAAACTGCTGGATCAGCAAAACGCAGAGGAGGAACTGAGCTGAGAGCGAATCAGAACCCTGGACACTAGTGTTAGTCCCGCCCCCTTTTATCCCCAATAGAGTGGTGCAAGAATGAGTCCTAAAACCCGGAAGTAAGCATTTCACCACTTCCTGTTCCCTGGTCTCAGAGCCAATGGGATCTCTCCATAGGGTTTTAGGAAAGTAGCTGAACTAAGGTCTGTGGTTGAGACACATTGAAGAGACAGATCACGTTTTGTTCTACGACATTAAATCCATCAGCAGTGACCCCACTGGTGATTTCTGAAGAGTGGACGTGTCTGAAAAACGATGGTTGTTACCAAGTGGCTGAATAGGACTACAGAAGTCGTGGAGGACGTTGAACGTCATTACGCCGAACACGTGAACACTCCTTTAAGTTAGTTTCTGTTCTGCTTGAAAGCAAGTCCCTGCCTCCTGCAGAGTGTTCAAACAAACGCTTCAACTCGTTCCATTTAGAGTCTGTGTGTTTGAATATGGATCTGAAGTTGGCGTGACGTTGAAGTCGTGCTGCTGGACTCGACTGTAACTGCTTTATAGCATAACGTTAGCATTTAGCTTCCGGACATTAGATTTATGATTAGAACATTATAAAAGTAGACATGTGGAGATTATCCGGCTGAACAAAACGTGCATTCATCAAACAGGTTCGTTTTCCACAGACATTATTTCCAGCTATTTTCCAAAATCCTCTGGAGAAATCCTGTTGCTTTGTGTCGAGGGAACCGGCAGCTTCCTTCCTGGTACGTCATCCCTGCTCGCTCTATTTCCTCCCCCTTCATCTCCCTTTTCCTCACGTTTGGATCCAGCTTTGAACCGGCACCAAGTACAGAATCACTGAGAACAAAAACAGGCCTCGTTGGACCTTTGAAACTTTGAAACACACCTGAAGAATAATCCTAATCTCCTCCATCTGCTCCGACTTTAAACTGAAGTTCTTCTCGTGGATTATGACACCATGAAGACCCCCCTCTGAGATAAAGAGAGTCAAACCACTTCCTCTTCCTGTGTGGGAGACGCTGATAGCTGGTCGTAGTTCTGTAGAATCACTCGTGCTGCATTCATGTCGAATGGTGAAACAACAACAGTCTTTAAGTGTTTTTCTTGTTGTTTTTTTTACAAACTGTGTTTAAAGCAATAGTTTGACACTTTAAGAAATACGTTTTAGGGCTGCAACCCTCGTTTAGTGTATAAAATGTCATTCTAGTATTTTAAAGGTGATGTCAAAACCAAAAGATATTCGCTTTAATTTGATATAAACAGAGAAAAGTAGTAAACCTCCATATTTGAGAGGCTGAAACTAGGGCTGCTCAATTAATCGTATTTTAATCGCGATTACGGCTTGCAACGATTACGAAAACAACGCAATCGAAATAAAATGTTTTGTTTTTTGTTTATTAAATACATTTTTTTGGGGGGTTTTCAGTTGAATTATAAAGTTCAGGGTAATCAACTGTTAAAAACATACAGTTAAAAAAAAAATGTTTTCAAAGTCAATGAATAATCGCATTTAATAATCGCAATTACAATTATTGACCCAAATAATCGAGATTATGATTTTTGCCATAATCGAGCAGCCCTACTGAAAACAGACATTTCTGCATTAAAGATAAACCTCAAATATGCAGTTTTCTTGCCAAGAGGTCAACAACAAGATCTACACTGCTCTGTGTGTATTGTAGATTAGCGTAGCTTAGCATAAGGACTTGAAGCAGGGGGAAATGCTAGCCTAGCTCTCGGTGAATTTACACAATACACTAACTGTTTCCCCCAATTCTCCGGCTTTATGCTAAGCTAACCCTAGCCTGCTTTCATATCTACTATGTACACATGAATTGTATTGATCTTCTTGTCTTAACTCGGCAAAGAAAATTCGAATTCCCAAATATTCTTCTCCAAATCTGGACTGAACCGTCCTTTGTTGAGGTTAAAGGTATTTTGTCTAGTTTTTAACAGTGTCCGTCTACCGTTTAGCTTATAGGACATGAATGCAGCATTATCCTAAAACAGAGAGTGATGTTATTTGATTACTGACAAGATCGAACACAGGAATATTGTCTGCCTAATGTTGTGTTCACACCAAAGTCAAAGCAACTTTCTCTCTAACAAACAAATCACAAAACAAAGACGAGAATATCCGGCATCTTATCGGAGAAATTTTTTTTTTAGTTTTGTGGCCAATTCAGTTATAGTGATATTTGAAGGAGAAGCTACACCGTTAGCATAGCCCTGATCGCACCAAACTGCATTCAGAAAACAAGCGATTGTAATGTTTGTCGTCCTGCGAACAGATCTGACAAAGCATGACACAGACTTTTTACAAATCGGCATCATGATGTAGTTATTTCGGCAGCCTCTTAATGCATTTTTCTGCACTTAAATAAGAGTGAAAAGTTTATTTTGTGTTCAGAAAAGCTCTCGTAAATCAGAGTAATTGGGCTGTACAAAGAGAAATGTGAATAAGCTAAAATGCCCTGGGTCAAATAAGTCAAACATTTGAACACAGATTTGTTTTTAGATCCTTTGATTTGATCTCACAGCCTCAACAATCATGATTTCATTTATAATTGGTAAACCGTTCAGCCCCACAAAGCAAAGAAAAAAGTATATTTTGGGGGTTCATACAGCTGCAGTAAACCTGACAAAATTAGCGACATCAATAAACACAAACGCCTTAATATAAGATTTACTTTATTGATCTTAATTTGCGAAATATGGAAATAAGAAGGTAGAAAATACACAGAATAGAAACTAAGAGTAAAAGACAAGTTAACAGTTAAGGATAAGACACTGGCTCTCAATTCAACACATTAAAGGGTCGAATGACGGCTAACACAATTCAAAAGGAGGGGCTTAAGTCAAAGTGCTCACTTTTGGTGTGAAAACAGCGTTAAACACAGGATCTGATTTCACCTGAAGTGATCTTACAGCGTTTCCAGTAATGATTTGGACACTCTTCACTCTCAGCTAAATCTCCATATGTTGCCGCTTTACTGAACATGTCTGGTGTCTACAAGGAGGAACACGTTATTATTTTCCGGCGACACAGAGGGGAATATTCTGCTCTGGAAATGAACACTTTTCCTCCAAGAAGCAGCAGATGGACCTAAAAGGAGAAGTAAAGGAACTGAGAGGAGACCAGCAGCTGGAAGTGGCTTCGTGTGGCTTTTGGAGATAAAACAAACACTACATTCAACGTCTCCACAACGTCCACGAGTCACCGACAACCACCAAGTAGTCTTTTGTAAGAAAAAAAGGAACATAATGTTGTGAAATGATGTACTATGTGATTATCATTACATGCTAAAATATTGTTTTTCTTTTTGTTATGTTAGTTTCATTCATTCTGTTCAAATCCTGTCGAACGTGTCCCAAGAAATAAGAAATAGTTTTTATTTTTTAAATCTTCTCATTAATCATCTTGTCGGCACCGTTTGTTTTTTTAATCTTCATTTCCTTTGTGCTTTTTCACTTATTTAAAGGCTTGTTCATTTATGATCAGGGCTGCAACGAGGAAGATTATTATGGACTGGTCTGTACATTCAGAAAACTAGGAGGAAAATGTCCATCTCAGTGTTTCAAAAGTCTTGAGACAAAAACCCAAATATATTCAATTAATGGAATGAAACAGAAACACAGCAAACACCTGCATATGAGAGGCACATTTAAAATATACTTCATTCTGTCAATTCACTTCTTTTTGCAGCCCTGTTTATGATGCATAAGCTGACATTTTCTTTTCTTTCAGCCATGTCTTTATCACTAATAACTCGGCCAAATAGGTATAGTCCAGATTCCCCGTTTCTTTACATGTTAGACGCTTTTATCCAAAGCGACTCACATACTCAAGTCTGTGGGCAATCCCCACAGGAGCGATTTGGGGAGAAGTGCCTCAGGGACACAACGACATGCTGACTGCAGTGGGGTTTGAACCTGTTACCCCTGATCCCCAACACCTACGCACAACCCACTGCACCACACGCCTCCACCGTTTGAAATCTATTTGACACCTGACAATCCCCCTCGTTCATCAGAATGCAGACTGGTGCAGGTTAGACCTTTGTGGAAGTCTTTATTTGAGCTTGCACAGGTTACTTTAGGAGTGTCAGATGTCATGGTGTAACCTCTAGATGGCACTATAACAACATGTGCTGATCAGAGGGGGTGAAATGTGAATATTTGACCCTTCTCTACACTGAGTTTGCATTATATCTTCTTTGACAGGTATCCTGTAACGCTCCCCCACATTAGTGTCCATGATCTCATAGCTTTATCTTTTACAAACTCTTCTCTGATTTCACTTCTTTTTTTTTAAGTTTGCAATCCTCCAATACGTACTATTTAAAATATATTCTTCTTGGACAGATCTGGCTTTTGACACAGTCCATTTTAATCTGCATTTATGATCAGATCACGCTTCTGTACCCCTCCCTGCACACAGCAGGTGTTTAGCTATAAATCACTATCCTATTAATTGCCAATAAAACCACCAAGAAGTATTTTATGATTTCAGTCGCCCTGCACGAAGTCAGTGGAAATGGTGTTAATATCAAAATGTGCCATTTTATTATAACACTATATTCTTTCAAGACAACTGAAATGACCTTTTTATTTTCTGTAGCATGTAATGTGTTAATATACTAGTAAATAAAGTCACCCCCATGACAACTGTTTAATGCTTTGATTCTGTTGGTGTGAAAAGATAACATGCTTTGGATCAGAGGGAGAAGTATTTAGACCATGTACTTCAGTAGAAGTACTTGGATCCTTTACTTGAGTAAAAGTAGAAGTACTCAGGTCTTGTACTTGAGTAACAGTAGAAGTACTCAGATCTTGAGTAAAAGTAGAAGTACTCAGGTCTTGAGTAAAAGTAGAAGTACTCAGATCTTGTACTTGAGTAAAAGTAGAAGTACTCAGGTCTTGAGTTAAAGTAGAAGTACTCAGGTCTTGTACTTGAGTAACAGTAGAAGTACTCGGATCTTGTACTTGAGTAAAAGTAGAAGTACTCAGATCTTGAGTAAAAGTAGAAGTACTCAGATCTTGTACTTGAGTAAAAAGTAGAAGTACTCAGATCTTGTACTTGAGTAAAAGTAGAAGTACTCAGATCTTGTACTTGACTAAAAGTAGAAGTACTCAGATATTGTTCTTGAGTAAAAGTAAAAGTACTCAGGTCTTGTACTTGAGTAAAAGTAGAAGTACTCAGATGTTGTACTTGAGTAAAAGTAGAAGTACTCAGATATTGTTCTTGAGTAAAAGTAGAAGTACTCAGGTCTTGTACTTGAGTAAAAGTAGA